TACCGGTTTTCCAACGTTTGCTTGCTAATAAGGCTTTCTAGTTGAACAACTTCACGCTTTACTGCACCCGACTCCGTTATGGATGAGCGCCGTCGCCTAGTGTATAAATCTTGTAGCCTTAGAAATAAGTTTAGTTTGCACTTGATAACGGGTAGTGATACAACTGTCCGAAACGTTGTGTAAATTAGAAAGAAAGACAATGGAAGTTCGACATCCTTTTAGTACTTCTACTGAATCAGTGTCTACCAACTTCAAGCAAATATTATGTAAAAGATATATGCAACGGAATTTGAAATAGATGCTACAGGATGTTCAAAATAAACGAACGTATTTGGATCATTTTAAATTTCAAAATTGTCTATTTTCTGAATGGCACACCACATATATCATTATTTTTGGAAAGATATTACTTTTTACCAAGGTAAAATGACATTTTCAATTTTTTTTGACAACTGAGTAAATATATTCATTAAATTTATTGTGGTAAATTAAAAAACTAGCTATGGATTTTCCTATAGCTCAACCAATGGATATGATTTATATACTGGGTGAAGCGAAAAAAAATATTTTGTTGGCAGTAAGACTCTACTTTGCGAATTACTTAATTAATAGTAAACCGGAATGCTACCAATGAGGAAAAAAAATTGGAAATTTTAATTCAAAATCAAGATAATCCCCAGTAACTGTCAAGTAGACAGCCTGCGGGATACATTAAAATCTTCCATTAATCGCACCACTCGGAAACACATCCCTTCCCTATGAAAATACACCAAGTGCGTGATTTTGAACAAACAAAAACACCGTTATAAATGAAGCCGATCCAAATTTTTTGTCTAAAATAATGTTTTCCGGTGAAACCACTTTTCGCAGTAATGATGTAGTTAATCGTCATTATTATTCAATAGTTAATCCATTGTGGGTACGGTAAGTGCAAAACCACAACCATATTTTATTCGCAAACTACTTAACAGGCTTAAATTTTTTTTTGCAGAAGTATGGTTTCAGGAAGATGGAGCTCTTCCGCGTTACCATCGAAAAGTTTTTTCAAAAGAATTTTAAAATAATAATTACCCATCGTGGCAGTGTACGGATATGTTAAAGATTTTTATGTTAAGTCACTTTGAACACCAGAAAATATAGGATCCAAGACGCTTGCAGGAAAATAACACCGTTTATGCAAATAGAGTAAACATGTGTATCGCAGTAGAAAGGCATTTTTTGAGCATTTCTTGAGTCATAGTAATAATTAAAAATAGGACAAGTTAATTTGTAATTATTGTAAGTATTTAATATTATTTTCTTTTTCTGTGAATTTAAAATTTGGTATTTATTTTCACCTAAATTGGTAATCGCTGTCTGTTGCCTTATCTACAGCAATAAAAATTCTTTCTCCTGTTCATTTTTCAATCTTAACAGGATAAGTTAAAATAAATCGCAATTTATAACAATTATTCTTAATACGAGTAGTAGCTTTTTGTAAGATCTTTCAGAAAAAATAGTTTATCCAAATATATTCGTTTATTTTGAACACCTTTTTATATTGGAAGAATTATTAAGCTTAGGTATGTATAATTCATCAAAAAGTTGAAGAATATTTTTACAAATGTATATTTTATTCGTAGCGCTTTGTTGAGCCACCCCGTATACTTTAAAATAATTTTAAATTATGCATCCTACCAATATTTACAACTTTTGTATTTACCATTTTCTCCTAACTCTTGAAACCACTGAGATAATGAACTCGTCCTGTATAATCCCTAGAATTTGGACAAGTATCAAAATAAAATAAATAAGAACTAAAAGTTCAGATTTTCACGAAATTATATATTTTGACATGACAATTGTTTCGACAACACCGTGTCTTTTTTCATAAAGACACGGTGTTGTCGAAACAATTGTCATGTCATAATATATAATTTCGTGAAAATCTGAACTTTTAGTTCTTATTTATTTTGATAAATGGATTTTCATCAAGTAAAAGCCTCCTCAGTTCAAGTATCAAAACAAATATACCAATATTATTTCTGTTATTTTTATTTGATTTTTTGTGTTTAGGTTAAGGATGTATTTATACAAGTTGGAGAATTACGATAAACTTTATTTATAAAAATAAAACATGGTTATTTCAACAAATCGAACAACCAATACAAAAAATTGGAAATAAACAGCTTACTTTTGAAGTGGTTGCCCACTTGTCTCATAGACACATTGAGATTCAGCATTTCAAGTATACTTTGTTTCTACATCCAAAACCTAAAATTTAAACCCGAATCAAAGAAGTAATTTTTTCTTTTCCGTAGAAAATGATGCGATTTTCGGCAAAATGTAAATTAAAATAATTCTTTTGTATTATATGTAACTTCAAAAAAATATTTATTTTACTCCTCGCATTCCACACAAGCTACAAGTTAAATCAGTTGAAAAAGTGCGTAATATGCTGTTTTTAAATCTTTGGGGTTGAGATAGTCCTTAAAGCAGTTAATTATAAGATAAGATAACTTTTTTTAGAAAATTTTAAACTTTAAAATGGACTCTATATTTATCAATTATTATTCCTAGACATTTAGTTGACTGAAAGGGAGCCATTGTTGGTGAATTTTATATTTTGGACACTCATTTGGCTGCTTCTTCGGTGTTTAAAGAAACCTAAAACGGTCATCATGAAAACTCCCTGCAACACTCGCCATCCAAGTAAAGGTATCGTTCATATATACTATAAAAAGTAATAAATCGATATCCTGATACCTAGCTTCAGGATGAAAAGTCTATCATTTAATTACAAAAATTAAGATGAATACGAGAAAACGTTCCTGGATAGTTAATTTTATAGACATATTCAAAATCAGTGCTAATAATATCCAGCATAAGTTTTTGCACATCTTTATCATATTAACATAATTTGGCTTTAAAATACTGCCGTGGGAAGCACCAATTTTGCTTTCTCTCTTGTCTACATTATGATATTTACAATTTAATTTTTTTAACACCCTCACCCTAGTATTGTTAGCGTGCAGATTTTATAATCTGATTTACAGAGCTTAAAGTACTGCTTAAAGTGCGACATGTTTGCTACACTACAATTTGATAAAGATCAGCTATCAGCAGCGTTCACTTGGAGTAATGATCATATCTTAACACGGAAAGATCACAATCGTTGTCAATGTCATACAGTTTACAGGTAAGATGCTACGAAAGGCTTATCTACAAGAAAAACGGCGGCCGCCAAATGAAAGATTCAGCATAGTTATACAGCTAGCTAGACAATTATCTTACCATAGGTTCGGCTGTAGTGGTCATAGGTTTTTCTAACATAGAGCAGAATTAAAGATAATGTTTTATAATGCTCCGTCTGATGTGATTGTGTTGCAAAGAAGGAAAATTAGATCATACAGTCTGTAGTGTTGAAGAATTTTCAAATCGGACTTTGGGATTAGAATTTTTAAGCACATTTGCGTTTGTTTACTGTTTATTTGTAAACTGTCAATCAATCAATCAATCAATTGATCAATGATCAAAAACGTTAAGCAAGTAATATATTGATGGTAAGTAATAATAGTCTCTCTCAATCCTATGGAAGTTACCTACCAACGGCAATAAAACTGAGATCCGGTAGGTATTAAAGGACAGAAACATTAGGGGCGGACTCTCAAAAGTTTTAGCAATAATAACAATTTTTCTTGTTTGTTTAGGTCGGTATAATCTCATTCAATTACACTAGGAAAAAACAATGACATTAAATATAGAAAACAAATTCATACCTAGGAATAATTATATTTTTATTCTATAATAAATATATTTTTATTCTAAATGTCGAAATCTAATTCTATTTCACTATCAGAGTAGTCATTGAGATTAATTACAATAAGATTTATGTTGTTTTGTATAGAAATGAAAGAGTCCTCCATTTTTATAATGTGCGGTACTTATTGTATTTGACCTTTGATTTGACTTGGTTTTACAAATCTTCTATGAAGAAAGACGTAAAACAGTATGCCCAGCCTGCTCGGTCTAATTATCGCCTACATACTGTTTTTAATCATTTTTTTAGAAATATTCCTGGATTTCTGTTTTTCAACTTGATGAGGTGCACACGGCTGTGGTACCTTACGTTATCCACAAAAATTACACTGATATTGGGAATATATTTGTTAAAAGATTGTTTTGAATCAATTTTCTTCTAAGCTAGAATCCTTAATATTCGGAGCAGACAATAGCAAGCAGTTTGGGACAAATCCGTCTTCTGACCCAGCATGTATTATGGTGATGCGTTTTCCTTTATTTGAAGGTGTTTTCGTCTAACAGTTTTGAATGGAATCAACCCATCCTTTGGATGCTGTATAGTATTGTGGGAATTAAATCTCTAAGTGCGTAATCTGTGTGATTGCTTGATTGCTTGCTTATATTTATACTGGCTTCATCATGGTCTAGCTTCTTTTTCAGTTTATCCAAGTTAGGAACAACCTCGCTTTGATTATTCTTATTAGCTCCTGATCGCTATACAATGAGTTTGTAAATTGTAACGTTTTTTTCTTTTCTTCAATTTTCCACTATTATTTTCGACGATATGGACGTTTATGTAAGTATAGAGGTTTCTTTTAAAACTTCTTGTTTAAGTTCTCTACTGATTACATTTTTCTACACCTTTTTCACAACGACATTTCTATATTCTCATAAAATAAATTTTTCGAAAAGCAGAGTAAAAACGATTATTCTACCCTAGCACAAATGATCAACACTTAAGAACATTGTTAATATTGTTAAAGTTATATTGGGAAGGCAACACGATAAAGATTGAGATAGACAGACGAAGTCTGTACCATGTAGACAGTTTAGGACTCAGTACAGTAGGCTTAACAGTTTCAAGCCATCGAAGGAACTAAATCTATATTCTGACTCAATAGATTGGCACAACTGAAGTTTTCCTCACATTTAATAAAATATCAGAACAAAACGATTCCGTTGCCTATCCGAAACCTATCATAAACTAAAACCATATTTACCTTCGGGTGCCAGATATGAAATATGCCGGGATCGGTGGCCCTTATTACCTTGACCCCGCTCCTCACATATTTCCGGTACAGCATCACGTCTTCCCCACCCCACCCGACGATGTCCTCATCGAAACCGCGGACTTTCAAGAAATCCGATCTGCAATGCAGCGACATACGTATAACGATTTACTCTTTAGTGGAAGCGCTCCAAAACCTTACCTATACTGACACGTCATCCCGTAACCAAAGTCCCTCCAGAAGCCCGTATCTCGCGATATGACCAACTGATCGTTTTCTGGAGGCACCTCCCTGCCTTGCAAGGTATAAACCACGTGCGGATTGTAGAGGCTAAATACCACCGGATAGTAAACCTTCCTTCCCGGTTTCGTATTCCACCTGCACCTGTCCAGAAACCTGGCACTAAACACTATATCCACGTCGCACATAAACAGCAGCACGTCCCTCTGGTTTTGCGCGGCTTTAGTTTTCGTTCTCGTCGCCTCTGACTGAGGATTTCCGTCCCACGCTCTTTCCGCTCCTACTCTCAGACCCTTGCCCCTAGAAAACGTCTCGTTCAGAGCCAACAGCCTGAGATTGTTGGCGTTTCCTCCCGAGTTTTTCGTCATCAAAACCCTGGACATAATACTTCTGGCCTCCGACAGACCTTCCTCGCCGAAATACACCACGGTTAGGTGGACGCGCCTGTCATTCTTTAAACCGATTTTTACGAATTTGTCCATGAAACTTTGGAAAGTGGCAGTGCGTCCGCTGAGCGGCAGTATTATATGAATCAACTCCTTTTCCTTAGACCCCGGCAGGCTTTCGCTAGTGATTGTTTGGAGAGGGGCGAACGGTCTCACGATCACAATTTTTGTGAAACCGTTTTGGCCCAGATGGTCAATTGCAGTCTTGTTCGACGTCCGAGTTTTAAAGTAAAGCTCGAATTGTGTGCCCGTAGTGGGCTCTATCCGGTACAGCCCTTCCAAAAAATCGTCCAACGTGTACCGCCTCAGTTTCTCCGTGATATTCTTGTTCAACGCATCCAGGCCCTTCATCAGAACTTCCAAAATGTCCTTCCTCTTGTAGCCTATAGGTTTCTCCACAACTCGCTTGCCTAGACCCAAGTCTAGCGGGTAAACTCTACTGTAGGTGAAATGGTTGAAGGGGATGAGTTCGTATTCGTTATTCAGAGGCGTGCCGTGGAAAATTTCAGCTTGCATGATTTGTTTTCTGATGTAATTGGAACACTCTGCGTTTGTAATTAACGGGTTTGGTGACGAGTTGGTGAAGGTGATCTGATTCGGAGCGACTTGGTGGTTCCTGTGCAAATTGCCTGAAACCAAAGAAACTAATATTAAATTAACACTACATACGAAATAACTGCCGGAATAACTACGAATCCTTGACAAACAATCACAGTAACAATTAAGAATTTTGTCAGATAGCCAAAAAGGAAATAAGCTTCATGCGCTATATGCGCTTGAAGGCAATGTCAGCTGTAATAACTCTAATAACCGAAATGAGTAGCTTTAATAAACATGTCCAAATCCATGTTAATCGCCGTTATGAATAAATGCGTAATCGATATTATTCATTCTTAATTTTACTGCTCTATATCTTGCAATGCAAAATTAGCTGGATCGGTCGATAGTGCGCATCACATATTCCAGAAGACTTTCACAGTGTGCACGACATGCAGTTCTTTTCGCGTGCATTGAACTACAGTGCTGTTTGCATGAATGTATCCTGCAATCCTGAGCACCACATTCATCCAGATGTTAGTTGCATCTATTGTCACTCATCCACAGCGACACTGATTTGGGTTCATTTTGTTCACTTTCAGATTTTCCGATATTTTGATTGCTTGGCATATTAATTACTGGCACTACTCTAGTTATCTTAAGTTTTTAGGGAGAACACCTGCAGTTTTGCAAAACTATTTAATTGGCTTTTCCACTCCCTACTGTAAAATATCCATTTCTGAGGGTCACCTAACACAGTGTGTTCGTGCTGTCTCTAGAAAGTTTTGTTATACAACACCTTGATAAACTTCGCTCCGCTACTCTTGTACATAGTAAATTAGTGGCGTTTATCAAACAGATAGCGATGGGCAATAAGAAAAATGAGTTTAAAGTGTAGGTTAGTAGGTTATTGACCAGTGTAGGCAAAGAAAAAAAAACGAATCAAGGTTGATTCATTGTAGATGGTTTAAGATATCTCTATCCTGGATTTAAAATTTAATAAAAGTAGCCCTAACTTTCATGCGACTCTTATGTTATTATTATTATCATTTTAATTTAATAATAAAAGTATTATCATTCTCAAAAATTAGAATTGTTATGAAAAATCAACAAGAGAGAACAAAATGTGCAATGTTGGGGGTGCATTCAATGAAAAATATTTTCAAACCACAGACGTACATTTACAAAATTTGGGGTGATATAGGGTACAATTTTTCTTCAGTTAACCAGAACAACACATATCCAAAAAAGTCTTTTCAATAATGGCCTGAGACTATTGAATGCGCTGTCTTCCAATATTAAAATCTCACCCAATGTGCAGATTTTTGTAAAAAAAATGAAAAACCTATATCCGAACTTGAGCTAGATGTATACTACAAATTTTGCATTCTTTCTCGTTCAGTGAATGTATAGTTAAGTAGTCAAGTTTTTTTTTTTTTTTTTTTGAGAGGGGAAATCTTCAAGAAGACATTATCCTGCCCGTATAGTCTAGCGTGTGGGATTTTTACCCACTGAAACCCCCCTTCTTCGCCACGTTCGATACACCCGGAACCGTCTGTGGACATAATCTCAGGTGCATCTGGCAGTCGGGCTAAGTGCTGGTTCTCCCTTGCCTTTCGAGTTCGTCTTTTCACATTTTTTCACATTCCAATATTCTTTTTTAGGGTCATAGTTTTATATTATACCGGCGTCAGTGTGTACCCTATTTTATCACTTGCATCCCTTCTCATATCTTTCTGCTCTGCCGTATTTGGGGAAATATAGCAGCAGGTCAGCAGACATTCCTTAGTCTCTATCACCCTCTCTAGTTATGTCCTTAATCCACCGCTCTCCAGACATTCGTTTCTTGTTCGGCTCACAGATTACCAGAATATCAATGCCGTTTTGTGTTGCGGTAGCTAAGACCATATCATGCGCCGCATATGCCCTACCTACGTTGGTTTGGAGTATTTTCATTTTTTTTTATGCCGCCTACTGACAGTGCTAGAGGGCCTCTGCCTCATTTCTTTTACCTTCTTCGCAACTTCTTTTCTTATTAACATTCTATAGTGCGGAAATTTGGTCTGGTCCGCCCTATGACCTTCTTTCTTGCAAGTCAGACAGAAACGTTCGTTTTTGCAGTCCTTCGCCTTATGGTTTTCGCTCCCGCACTTAAGACATATCTTAGTTTTGTCTTCCCCTGTACATTCGCTAGTGCGGTGTGCAAAGCCCAAATACCTATAGCATCGTATAACATTGACCCGTTGCCACCTGGTAAGAGACCCAGCTAATTCGTACCGTTCTTCTAGCTACCAATGTCATAGCCAAGTTCTTTTTGATCAAGATTGTCGCATTTTGACCACCGTTGTAGGTTGGTCTAGTAGCTAGGATCTTTATGTCACCATCTTTAGCTCCTCCTAAGCTTTCCATGATGGCATCCGCTATTTCCCTTTCCCTAATGTCTCCTTCTATGCCAGATATGTGTACTACGCTGTTATAATCTTTAATGCTCACTGTTGTGTCTTTGTTTTTATTCTGTATTTCTTTTTTAAAAGCCTCAGCTTTGTTCTTCGATATTTCAGGAGCAATCAATAAAAGATGACAAGAACGTTTTCTACGCTTGGAAAAATTAGATAAAAAAATCTTGTTAGATCTGTTGTCTTCTAGCTAAATCGTTCGAAGAGTAATGCTAGAGGTATAATAATACTCTGACAAGAAACAAAACAGGGTGTTCAAAATTTGGTTACAAAAATGGCAACTTTCAAATATATTTTTTTAGTATCTTTAAATGGTGTTAGGAATGTTTACCAAAAACCATAAATATTCTCATAAAACTAGTGCAGTGTATTGAGAAATTATCAAGCCTCAGTATTGAAATATTATTCCAACAAGCTATGAGAAAACAGTTGGTATTTTTCAACAACAATGGTTATAATTATGACACAAATATATCAGCGTCTTATAATACAGAGAGGCAGAAGTTGAAAGCAGAAAATAGATCAGAAAGTCGTGGAATCTTATGATTGAGCTGCTAGAGAAAGTTTCCAAGAGATCATAAACATGATGATAATAAATATCCAGACAAAGAACTAAAAGAAGAAAAATCCCAAATCCCACTCTGGGTTTATGTTATTAGGATTTTTGATGATTTGGATAGACACCTCGAATTTTTCTTGCAATTGATGGATATAAGTATTTTGGTCAAATTGAATATATTTTGCCGTTCTCTGGAGTTATTTTAGTCAGGTTGATATTTTTTGACCTAATACTTCTGCTGTTGGCTCGAGAGGAACTTTATCTTTAACTGATGTTGAATGATTGTAGATTTTAGGACAAGTACAGAATCTGGTTTTCATATTATATGTTATTTTTTTTAATAATTTATCATATTTGATCGGTATCGTTTTGAACATATGGAACTACTACATTTGCTAGCTTCAAAGGCGCCTATGTTTGCGTGCAGAACTGAGAAGAGGTGTATTAATTGTGGGTTAAGACATTCGAATTGCGATAGTGATATTGTTCTAATTAATCACAGAATATCTTTGTGTTGGATGATAATATTATAATGTATGAGTATAAGTATGAGTCTTTTTCTCTAGACGTGAATACCCTACGGTCAGAGAGATAAATTGATCAAAATAAATAAGAACTAAAAGTTCAGATTTTCACGAAATTATATATTATGACGTGATAATTTTTTCGACAACACCGTGTCTTTATCAAATGTGAATGAACTTTTAGTTCTTATTTATTTTGATAAATGGATTTTCATCAAGTAAAAGCCACCTAAGTTCAATAGATAAATTGATGTTTGGGTGTACGGAGTTAAAGTAATTCAGAAGGACTGAAAATATTACTGACCGTGTGACCAGGAAGAAAGAACTCGCGCGTTCTCTGACGAGCTCCTTCGAAGTTTTAAAGTTAATATCTTGCCTGACTAAAGTAAACCTTTAAACATGTATATCGAAACGTATAAACTTTTAAGCGCTACGAGGCTTTAATGCCAGCGCTGGGTCCGCGCGCTTGATTAACTCGGATTCTCCTGACACCGACTTCCATATTTTATTTATATCTTAATCCGAAAACGCCTTCCAATTACTCAAACCGCCAGAGGAATCCGGACGAAGCCTTAATTAGTACTAACGTAATTTTTAGCCAACGGTCCGTCGAATTTCGAGCTTTCGACTTAATTTAATTTTTGTCCAAACTCTTTTGATTGAAAACACGATTAAAGCCGGGGCGGGACCCCCATCGGACGGGGAGATTAAAATGTCAACATTAAATTAGTTAGACCGGCGGCCCGAACTTTGGGGGCTCCGCTATCCGTCAGCGAAGAGAGAGGAGGACTCTATAAGGTTTTAAGTAATTATATCCGTTGGCGCTTTGATAAGGGTAGTTCTCACGATGTGGCGCGTTTTTGCTTTCAGGGTAGTCGGGGATCGCCATTTGTTATTCGTACGATTTGTCGCGATAAACTGGCTATGTTTTTACACGACACAGACCATCGTATCAAACGGAGGGAAGTGAGAGATTTATTTTGTTCTTAGAACATTTTAACCGAGAGAAGAAGGACTGACGTCAAAGTGTGGACAAAGGGTTTGCCTCCTTTTGCGAAAAAGTGAATTTGATGACGTTATAGCAGATACCCAGACACCGCTGGATATTCTGTGAATATCTGCCGACAGATATTCGCCTCCGCGGAATAATGAATAACTAAACCAAATATTCTTTTTTCCGTAATAAAATATTCAATAGCGGATATTACAAAAAAATATTTTAACACTTTGACTGCCGCCCCAAAATCATTGAGGGGTCGCACCGTTTTTTTTTACAGGAAAGTGTTTAAAATACCTCCTAACACAATATAATATAACCGAAATGGTTGTTTTTTTGTTATTGAAACTTTAAGGCTAGTGTATAAAAATTATACACGTGGCGTAGAATTAAAAAAACATAAGTATATCGTGATATACACGGTTAAGCAGGCTTATTCTTTTCTATCGGACGCGTTGCGAATTTGTCAATAATCATCACTTTCAGTCTGAAAGTGGTGAGGTGATGACACTTTGCATAAACTTGAAAAAATAAAGGCAACCCATTGGTTCCTATT